ATTACCATGTGTAGTCCCTTTGTTCCTGAAAGGAGGGGAGTATAAAAACTGAAGTCTAATCCCACCCTCCTCGTTCAGAATTGCCTATCTCTAACATGCCTCTGAACCTTGCGCAAATAAACTTCTCTGCTAAACCCCTCTGGAATTCGTAAGAGTTCTTTCGTTTTCCACAAGAATGCCGAGAGGTAGAGTTTTCCAATGCTTTGGTTTTGTCTGGCCAGCCCCCTCCAGGGCAGCAGTCATGGCAGCCCCCCTCGGTGCTGCGCCCGCAGCCGCAGCAGCTGGGATCAGTGAAGCTCTTGCCCTGGTGTCTAACGCCAACACCGTCCCTCATCTTCCTCCTCATGGTTTTGTCGGACTTTGCTGGCAGCAACAGTGGCATGGGGTTCATGTGCTTTCAAGGTTTGGAAAGCATTCATCATGAACTGCTTGGCTTGCCTCATTAGCAGGTCCATATGATCAGATTCTCCACTTTCCTCCTCAAGCTCTTCTAGCTCTGCCTTCCGCTCCTGTCGTTGGTCACCATGGCTGCCCTGGCATGAGGGTCACCACCTTGGTTCTTACTTCCCAATCTTTCTTCTTTCTGAGGTAGCACCTGGTTCTCGATGAGTCTCCCAGGCCCCAAATCTCCTCCTTCCATTTGGAGAGGTCCAGCTCAGGGAGAGTCCAGGACCACGCTTTCCCCCAGCACTCAGCTTCCTCCTAGTCACTGCCTTGGGCTAACATCGTGTGCACAGTCTCCACGGTAGGGCTGTATGCCTCTCCGGGTTGACCGAACTTGCAGATTCCGTTTAATGTGAGGACCTGCCCTAGCTGGCCCCTCAGGAAAGCAAAACTCTTGATCCATTGAGTTGAATCAAAAGAACTTTTACTGAGAGAAAGGGGTTGCAGAAAAGTCAGGCGGAATCTGAGAATGCACCAAGCAATTCTTCCATTTCCCCAAATTCTGAACAGTCCACTGGCAGCCAGTGTGATGCCGCAAGGTTGTTTTGAGAACACTGAGGTACTGGGCAGATAACAAGTCACTCTCAGGGCATGACAACCTTGGAACCAGGCTGAAACTGGCTGGGAAGGCATCTGCTCCATCTCCGAAGACAATCCCCCTCCCTAATTCTCAAGCAGTCATAGCAAAAGCGAAAGCATGCAAAAAATGCCAGTAAGCCTTCCCCCCCACACCTCAACACACAATGATGGACACAACGATGTACCTGACAGCAGTATTGCAGGCTAATTCAGTTCACTGACAGGTGTTCAATCCTCAGCAGCTCAAGGTTGACTCACCCCTCCATTCTTCCAAGATCAGTAAAATGAGAACCCAGATTGTTGGGGGCAATATGCTAACTCTGTAAGCTGCTTAGAAAGTGCTGTAAAGCACTATGAGGTGATATATAAATCTAAGTACTATTGCTCTTGCTATCTCTAACCCACCCCAGTGGGCTGTATCAGAGATTAGCAAAAAAAAGTCCCTCCTCATTCTGCAATTGCTGCACAAAGGCTAACAAAACTAGCATAAATAATTCATAACAAACTTTGAATTAAGCAGCATCAAATATATTAACATTTGAACAAGGAGATTTAGCTTGTGCTCATGCAACAACACATGAAAAAACAGCATTTTCAATCACCTTAGGTTCCCTGCTTTTAGAAAAGGCATCTAGAGCTATATTTGCACATGATTTTTCAGGCTCTTCAGACTAGAACCACAAGCTTCCTTCCTAAATAAAATGGTTGCAAATAAACATCGTACAACTTATTCAGTGGACTTCATTGAGAAAACAGGAATGAAACAAAGGTCAGATATTATATACAGATAGCCCTTGACTTATGACCACTATTGGTCCAAAATTTCTGTTGCCAAGTGAGACATTTGTTAAATGAATTTTGCCCCATTTTACTATCTTTCTTGCCACAGTTGTGAATCACTGCAGTTAAGTTAGTAATATGGTTGTTAAGTGAATCTGGCTTCCCCATTGACTTTGCTTTTCAGGTCACAGGTGATCACATGACCCTGGGACACTGCAAACGTCATAAATATGGATTAGTTGCAAAGCATCTGAATTTTGATTCTGTGACAATGGCAATGCTGCAATGGTCTTAAGTGTGAAAAATGGTCATAAGTCAATTTTTTCAGTTCTGTTGTAACTTTGAACGGTCACTAAATGAATTGTTGTAAGGCAAAGACTACCTATGTGCTATAACACCAAAGATCACAGAAGTCATTACATTTATGCTTATGAACTTTCAAAAAATTTTATAAGGGTGTGATGCCTTAAGTAGCGCATTCTTTATCTGAACCGTGTTCAAACAGGAAATATAAACAAGGTAATGATAGCTAATAATTTGGTTGTATTTTTAGGTGTCAGTTAATCAGCTACGAAATTTATTTTAGAGTTGTTTCAAATGGTTTCTGTAAAAGGTATCTGGCTATTTCATCACATAGACTTTTGGTGTCTTCTCAATAATGGTTTCTGTTTAAACAGATAGATAATTTTAGTTGGTAGATGGTATCTTCAGCTAAAGTAATTTTTGAATAGAACAAACAATAGATCTCTGATAGAAATCACAACATATTATAAGCCTTTTTTAAAGACCAAGACTAGAAATCTATGGATTAGGTGAAACTCAGTACAGCCAAAGGAGATATCAAACTACTCCAGACTCTCATTAAGCTAATTCTGCACATGAACTGACTATAAAATATAACTAATATGCAGATAATCCTCATCTATCAACCACAATTGGAACCCACAACTTGGTTCCTCAAGACACATGGTTAAGGGGAAAATCAGATGTCAACAACTGTGCTTATGATTTTACTCACTCAGGTGGTTGGATAATTAGTAAAAAGGAAAATAAAGTTTGTATTTATATTCATTAAGAGAAAAGAATTACAAAAGAGTAGGCAGGTATATAGTGGGGAATACACATAGAAAGGAATACTACTAGCACCATCAGTTTGTCTAAAGTGTTCAGGGCTCCAGGCCCATTTGTGAGGCAAATAAAAGCTGAAAGAATGAAACTGATGAAAATCTTGTCAGTTACAAACAACCTAATTAAGGTTACAGACTGAGCTTGTTAATTTACAATTAGCACTTTTTGGGGATTGAATTAAACACAAGCGAGTCTGCAAACACAGCCAATGAGTTCTACAGATAGTTTAGAGCCAGATTCTCTCAATTTCCTACCCCCACATCCCCTACAATCAGCTTCTTCCTTTCTGAAAGCTTGCTTGCTCGCTCCCAAGACTCATTTCCGAACTCGGCTTCGCACAACCTCAGGCTGCGAAACATCAGAGGGAACCCAGGTGCGCTTGCGCCCTCCGACCTAGGCCCGAAGCGGCTGCCGATGTTAACATCCGAATGCTTAGCTCTAGCGAGCTCTTCCTGGTCTATTACCTGCGCATGCGTCCCTCTTGCTCCTGGTCACGAGAAGCGGGAGAAACAGAAAGGCGATACAAATTCGTTTGTCGCTGCGCGGCCGAGACTCGGCATTGAGTCGTCGAGTTGGTTCTTGCCATGGGACGTGACAGCCGATGGCGTGAATGTTACTGGTTCTTAGTGTTGTTGCACGGGGTGGGGAGCCTGGCTGCAGCAAGCGCTGGGGGGCCTCAGCTGCCTTTGGTCGTCAACACCTGGGCATTTAAGAATGCTAACGAAATAGGTGCTACTTCTTTTTCTTCTGTCCTTGGTTGGGGAGGCATCAACGTGGTCGAAATTTGTCGCCATAATCTGGGCTTTCCGAAAATTTTGCATCCTCATTTACCTACTCGCTCCTTCCTACTACATTTAGGTTCCCTCTGGGCTGATGCAGTTAATTCTGTAGTACAACGTTATCAAACTGCCTTATAAGTGATTACCGTATACTTCGGGGAGAAATTTTTTTTTTATTACTTGGCATGTGTTTGGTTTGCACTGAAAACAGATTTCAAGTTTAAGCACTTGCATCTTTACATGCTGAGCAAAATACTACTGATTATTGCTCTCTTTACAGCCTATTTGGTTAGTGGTTAAGATATCTGGCTAGAAACTGGGAGACTGCCAGTTGTAATGCTGCCTTAGGCACAAAGCCACCTGAGTAACCTTGGACCAGTCACTTTCTCTTAACCCTAGGAAGGAGGCAATGGCAAATCACTTCTGAAAAGCCTTGCCAAAAAAACTGAAGAAACTTTCCAGGCAGTCTTCAAAAATTGGATACGATTGAAGGGGGGGGGAAATGCTCTCTTTCTATTATGGTTGAAAGACCATCAGTGTTACACAGATTTAACAACTCTTAGAAGTAATGACCCCATTCCCTAGCAGTTGTTAAAACAATGTTGAATAAACTAACTTGTGCATTAGATGTGTAGACATTTTGGTGAAATAAAATTGACCTTGGTTATTTTAAAAAGATAAGCAGCTTATAGAATGTGCTTAATTCTTAAAGGGGAGACTTTTAGAAAATCTTATCATTGGAAGATTTTAAAACACATCTCAGGAGATAATGGCAAGCCATTCCATATACTTTTGCCAAGAAATAAAATTGCCAGGAATTGAGCTTCAAGAAAACTTCCTAAAGATTTTACATTTTAATGAATTTAGCATTTTGATTTCCAGTTTTTGCTAATAGTAATTAGCAGAGAAAGCATAACTACCTTTGTAAGCCTTAATGAGTATAATGAGACCTACTTTGGGGTGAATATCTCAAGAATTGTGCTCTTAATATAAGTAATGTTGGAATGTTCCTGGATCCAAATTTAGTTTAGCATGTCTTCTGTAACAAAGCTGAAAGAGAAAAAAAGTGATTCCATAAAATCAAATAGCCCATTTTAATTCTAGTTTACTAATGCTAGATTTTAAAGAGAATATACAAGTAAGCAAGAAGTTATAAAAATTAATCTTTCTCCAATTAGGTTACTTTTTTATGATACAAGACTAAACTGCTTTGAAATGGTTATTCCTTAGATTCAGACTATAAGTTTGTGCTTACTTACCTTGGAATAGTACATGTCAATAGAAATGTACAAGATTCTTATAACTTTTGATGAATTCATATGATTTTTAACATGTATACCTTTATTGAGCCAGTTGCATGTTGTAAGAATGGGTGTGAAATTTGTATGCATTTTTCTTGTTAGAAAAATAATCTGCATAATAACTGTTTACGTGCTTTTGATTGCAGCTTGGAATACCTTACAAGCAGGAGGTTCTGAACTTGATGCAGTAGAAAAAGGTTGTGGGCAGTGTGAAATAGAGCAATGTGATGGAAGTGTAGGATATGGCGGAAGTCCAGATGAACATGGAGAAACAACTTTGGATGCCATGATTATGGATGGGTAAGACATCCTACAAACAGAGATTTTTTCCCAGTCCAGTAATTTCTTAAAGCAGGAGGGCTTATACATGATGAAACAATTTCCTGTCATATTAAGATGGAAACACTGGAAAACTACAATGTAGGCCCTAAGACGGGTGTCAAACTGCCGGCCCGCGGGCCGGACGCATCACCAGGAAACCGCGTCCCCCCCATTGCCGGCAGTGGGAAAAAAGCTCCGATACATCACATGATGTTGACATGTCTGCCCTAAGACAAGCATATCTCAATTTTTTTAAAACAATGAAAATCCTCCATGGCCATTATTCATAAGAGTGATGTGGTCCCACCTACTTTGTGGCCTTCTGTAAACATTTGTTAAGCAAATGTCTTTTGTTCACTAATAGGTTTCCCATCTCTGTTTTACAGTTTTACAGTTAATGGCCAACTCCATTAAATAGTATGGTAGCAAAAGCTACTGAGATAATGTGTTCATCTAAGAATCAGGATAATGTTCTTGGTATTATGAAAGTTAAAAGAAAACTAGAGGACAATTGGATAGATGAGACTTGCTGCTATTTTTTGACATATGCTTAAATGAACATGCCAAGGGGAGTATTTAGTTTTTATTTATACTGTATAATAAACACCTACTCTTTTCCTAAAATTTGATTGATTATGTGCCATCAAATTCAGTGTAGAATCTTAATGACCACATAGATTTTTTCCCCATGACAATCTGTCCCTAACCTAGTCTTTCAGATCTTCCAACAGTGCCCATTGCTATAACTGAGCTTATCTTTGCTGCTGGCCATTCTCTTTATCCTTCCAACTTTCCCAGTATTACAGCCTTTTTCAAAGTAGGAATATCCAAAGTAGTATAACATGAGCCAGGTCATTTGTGCTGATTTGTTTGATAATCCTTTTTTTCCCCTTAGCTATCCATGGTGTTATAATGAATTTTCCTCTATACCTAGATTATTATTTTTTTTTAATTTTTATTTATAATACAATTAAAACAAAAATGGACATACGTGGCATTCCAGAGTAAATATTCCTAACAATTTGTTTCTCGTGATACAAAAACTTAATACATCATCCTTAACCTCTATATACACCTCATTCTTCTACATAATACAATTATATATACAATTATATGTACAATTATCTGTATGTTTCAATCCTATCATTAGCTTAAGATCCGAGCAGTTCTCCTTGATTCATACCAGCGATAAAATTTGTCCCAGATTTCGAAATATTCCAGTTCTGTCTTATCTTTCACAGCCATTGTAAGCCTGTCCATCTCTGCACATGATAAAATTTTATACAGGATTTCTTCTTCCGTTGGAATTCCCTTATTCCTCCAGTTTTGAGCATAAACCAATCTGGAAGCCGTTAGGATATGTAGCATCAAATAGAGTATGCCTTTGTCATACTTCTGCGTTGTTATACCTAATAGGAAAAATTCTGGTTTTAACTCTACCACTCGCTCTAGTATTTCTTCCAACCATTCTTTAACCTTAGTCCAAAAATCACAAGCTCGCGGGCACTCCCACCACATATGATAGTATGTTCCAATTGCCAGATTACATTTCCAACATT